CTTTAATATAAACAGGTGTAGGATATACCAGCCTCCTTAGCCAGACAAACCTTTAATATAAACAGGTGTAGGATATACCAGCCTCCTTAGCCAGACAAACATTTAATATAAGCAGGTGTAGGATATACCAGCATCCTTAGCCAGACAAACCTTTAATATAAACAGGTGTAGGATATATCAGCCTCCTTAACCAGACAAACCTTTAATATAAACAGGTATAAGATATACCAACCAGGAAAACCTTTAAATAAACACGTGAATCAAATCAGAAGGAAAAATGTTGAGGACAGAAAATATTATTTGCGTGGAAGTAAACTATCAAATAAGTTGATTTAATGAGAAGTATTTATCCACATCTTATATAAAGCAGACCGTTGTAATTATATATTTATGTTGTTAGACCGTTGTAATTATATATTTATGTGTATGTTTGTCACTTTGTTGGAAATGGGAAACGATAATAAAAAAGATTACATTTTCGCCAGCCCTGGGTAACATAAAAATAATGTTTCGGGTTAGAAGGTAGAGTTGTTTTGGTGTCCCCTATCATATTAGACTATTAAAGGGCTCGTTTTTTTTGGACGACGATATTCTATATAGATGCGCTTCCTAAGTTTTTAAAATATCTATCTATCTCGAGATAGATTTGCTTCGGTACAATTGTACAAAGTCACTGTCAACAACATGGCGGCGGAATTTAGATTTTCTATTCAACAAAGAACTTCTATCTATGACGCCTAAAGTGTAAAACTAAAAAAACCTAATTTTTGAAAAAAAAACTTTATCGAGTATTTTATCAAACAAAATTTAAAGTTTGAAAGAACATAGTCTAAAACTAAAGAACGAAAAGTTTTGACTTAAATTTTAAGTTCATGGTTAAATGCCACTTCTGACTTAATTTAAACCTGAACTTTAACCGTGAGGTTAAATATTTAACCCTGTGGTTAAATATTTAACTCGCCGAAATCGACGAGTTAAAATTTAAACACAGGGTTAAAATCTTGAAATCCTGCATTTTTCCTATTTGTCTATTATTCAATCATCATTCAGCTGAGAAAGTGGCATTCAACGTTATATTTAAAAGTGAAAACCTTGTTAAAGAAATTTCACGTTTTAGGTTAATTAATTTTTGCATGTAAACCCAAAATACGGTTGTAACTCGAAATATGTTTTGTTTTCGGTTACGTAATCAGCTGATTAGGGGTGGTTATGTAATATTCTCCGTAAATCCTTTTCTCTGATTGGTTCAGATTTTCCCGGGGAAATTCATATTTGAAATTGAGAAAGTTTAATATTTAAGTAGCTATTCATTATTTTACAGAACTTTTAACCTCGAACTTAAAATTCGCGCATTCTTTAGTTTTAGACTCAGGTCTGAAATTATCTAAGGACTGGGAAATCAGATCCTTTGCAAGAATCTTGAAAAATGCAAATATGTATTTTTTCAAAAATCTTATTTCTAAAATGTATCTAGAGATAAATCTAATTGTTTTTATTTTTCTCTGAAAGAAAAGTGTAAATCTTCATGGTTATAATTCTAGGTTTCTAAGAAAAGAATTACAGAAGTACAGAAACAGATAATTAAATTCCTCAACAAAGAAAAACAGAATAAATTTGCTACTTCCACTTTAAGTTTAACTTTGTTGAACAGATTCATCTCTGGAACCGAATTTGATGAATTTGAGCTATGTCGCTGAATTCTTCTTCCGGTGCTTTGAACCACCGATTCAAATTTTAAGATTCTGGAAGGATTTGAATTGGTGATTCAAAATTGAATCGGTGGTAGGCAGTTCAAATTCATTAAATTTGGTGCTTATATACATATATATATATATATATATATATATATATATATAACATATACATGAGTACTTTGTACATATACATGAGTACTATGTACATATACATGAGTACAATGTACATATACATGAGTACTTTGTTCATATACATGAGTACTTTGTACATATACATGAGTACTTTGTACATATACATGAGTACTTTGTACATATACATGAGTACTTTGTACATATACATGAGTACTTTGTAAATATACATGAGTATTTTGTACAAATACATTAGTACTTTGTACATATACATGAGTACTATGTACATATACATGAGTACTTTGTAAATATACATGAGTACTTTGTACATATACATTAGTACTATGTACATATTCATGAGTACAATGAACATATACATGAGTACTTTGTTCATATACCTGAGCACTTAGTACATATACATGAGTACTTTGTACATCTAGTAAAAGAAAAAGCTAATTAATTTACATATAAGGAAAACGTAAAACAAAACAAACAAGATATAACAAGGAAAACATATTATTTTTCTCATTACGCATACGTATTATTTTTCTTCAGTCTCCTCAGGACAAGATCACGGGGATAGAAGGATGACAAGGACAAGATCACGAGGATAGTAGGATGACAAGGACAAGATCACGGGGATAGTAGGATGACAAGGACAACATCACGAGGATAGTAGAATGACAAGGACAAGATCACAGGGATAGAAGGATGACAAGGACAAGATCACAAGGATAGAAGGATGACAAGGACAAGATCACGGGGAAAGAAGGATTACAAGGACAAGATAACGGGGATAGAAGGATGACAAGGACAATATCACGGGTATAAAAGAATGACAAGGACAATATCACGGGTATAGAAGGATGACAAGAACAATATCACGGGTATAGAAGGATGACAAGGACAATATCACGGGGAAAGAAGGATTACAAGGACAAGATCAAGGGGATAGAAGGATGACAAGGACAAGATCACGGGGATAGAAGGATGACAAGGACAATATCACGGGTATAAAAGGATGACAAGGACAAGATCACGGGGATAGAATGATTACAAGGACAATATCACGGGTATAGAAGGATTACAAGGACAATATCACGGGTATAAAAGGATTACAAGGACAAGATCACGGGGATAGAAAGATGACAAGGACAAGATCACGGGGATAGAAGGATGACAAGGACAAGATCATGGGGAAAGAAGGATTACAAGGACAAGATCACGGGGATAGAAGGATGACAAGGACAATATCACGGGGATAGAAGGATGACAAGGACAATATCACGGGGATAGAAGGATGACAAGGACAATATCACGGGTATAGAAGGATGACAAGGACAAGATCAGGGTGATAGTAGGATGACAAGGACAAGATCACGGGGATACAAGGATGACAAGGATAAGATCACGAGGGTAGAAGGATGACAAGGACAAGATCACGAGGATAGAAGGATGACAAGGACAAGATCACGAGGATAGAAGGATGAAAAAGACAAGATCAGGGTGATAGTAGGATGACAAGGACAAGATCACGGGGATAGAAGGATGACAAGGATAAGATCACGAGGATAGAAGGATGACAAGGACAAGATCACAGGTATAGAATGATGACAAGGACAGGATCACGGGAATAGAAGGATGACAAGGACAAGATCACAAGAATAGAAGGATGACAAGGACAAGATCACGAGGAAAAAAGGATGACACAGACAAGATCACGGGGATAGAAGGATGATAAGGATAAGATCACGAGGATAGAATGATGACAAGGATAAGGTCACGAGGATAGAAGGATGACAAGGACAAGATCACGAGGATAGAAGGATCACAAGGACAAGATCACAGGTATAGAATGATGACAAGGACAAGATCACGGGTATAGAAGGATGACAAGGAAAAGGTCACGAGGATAGAAGGATGACAAGGACAAGATCACGAGGATAGAAGGATGCCAAAGACAAGATCACGGGGATAGAAGGATGACAAGGATAAAATCACGAAGATAGAAGGATGACAAGGATAAGATCACGAGGATAGAAGGATGATAAGGACAAGATCAGGGTGATAGTAGGATTACAAGGACAAGATCACGGGGATAGAAGGATGACAAGGATAAAATCACGAAGATAGAAGGATGACAAGGATAAGATCACGAGGATAGAAGGATGACAAGGACAAGATCAGGGTGATAGTAGGATTACAAGAACAAGATCACGGGGATAAAGGATGACAAGGATAAGATCACGAGGATAGAAGGATGACAAGGACAAGATCACGAGGATAGAAGGATGACAAGGAGAAGATCACAGGTATTGAATGATGACAAGGACAAGATCACAGGAATGAAAGGATGGGAAGGACAAGATCACAGGAATGAAAGGATAGATCACAGGAATGAAAGGATGGGAAGGACAAGATCACAGGAATGAAAGGATGGGAAGGACAAGATCACAGGAATGAAAGGATAGGAAGGACAAGATCACAGGAATGAAAGGATGGGAAGGACAAGATCACAGGAATGAAAGGATGGGAAGGACAAGATCACAGGAATGAAAGGATGGGAAGGACAAGATCACAGGAATGAAAGGATGACAAGGACAAGATCACAGGGATGAAAGGATGGGAAGGACAAGATCACAGTATTAGAATATTGACAAGATGAAGGAGAGAATATTGATCATAATTTACCTCAGGCACTGTTGTCATATTGATAACACTTGCATCCAGACTCCGGTACATTTTACTCTCAGCCTTGCTGGAGAACCTAGATACAAGACTTACAGGTTTACTGGAGAACCTAGATACAAGACTTACAGGTTTATTGGAGAACCTAGATACAAGACTTACAGGTTTACCGGAGAACCTAGATACAAGACTTACAGGTTTACTGTTTACTGGAGACCCTAGATCCAAGACTTACAGGTTTATTGGAGAACCTAGATCCAAGTCTTACAGATTTACTGGAGAACCTAGATACAAGACTTACAGGTTTACTGGAGAACCTAGATACACAACCTAGAGGTTTACTGGAGAACCTAGATAAAAGACTTACAGGTTTACCGGAGAACCTAGACATAAGACTTACAGGTTTACTGGAGACCCTAGATACAAGATTTTCAGGTTTACTGGAGAACCTAGATATAAGACTTAAAAGTTTACTGAAGAACCTAGATACAAGACTTACAGGTTTACTGAAGAACCTAGATATTAAACTTGCAGGTTTACTGGAGAACCTAGATACAAGACTTACAGGTTTACTGAAGAACCTAGATATTAAACTTACAGGTTTACTGGAGAACCTAGATACAAGACTTACAGGTTTACTGGAGAACCTAGATCCAAGACTTACAGATTTACTGGAGAACCTAGATACCAGACTTACAGGTTTACTGGAGAACCTAGATACACAACCTAGAGGTTTACTGGAGAACCTAGATAAAAGACGTACAGGTTTACTGGAGAACCTAGATCCAAGACCTTTTCAAAGCTAGGCAAAAGAAAGATGGCGAAATCATTCCACTGTTTTCTTGTTATCATTGTACAATCATATATTTTTTAAGCAATTACAAATTTTCCTTTCTAACAAGAGAAAATATAACTAGAAGGGCATTAATTTAATTGCTACTATTTCCATTTCTACACTGCAGTACTATATAATTTTGATGCCTTAGTATTCTTGCTAAAACAGAGTAGGCCTAATGTTGGTCATTAGTTTTCTTTATTTTCAGGGTCTTATGAGAAAAGTTAAACTTGTTAAAGAATTGTAGGTTATAAATATTGCTTGTATTACATAATGAATAAAGTTCTCTTTAACAAACCACTGAAGATGTTGTATACTATATAAGTCTAAAGTTAGGTCAGGCTAGGCTATAACTGTTTGGTCGGGTTGGTTAAGACGGGTCAGGGTAGGTCGGCAGGGTTAAGTTAGGATGTAACTGTTTGGTCGGGTTGGTTAAGACAGGTCAGGGTTGGTCGGCAGGGTTAAGTTAGGATGTAACTGTTTGGTCGGGTTGGTTAAGACGGGTCAGGGTAGGTCGGTAGGGTTAAGTTAGGATATAACTGTTCGGTCGGGTTGGTTAAGACGGGTCAGGGTTAGTCGGTAAGGTTAAGTTAGGATATAACTGTTCGGTCGGATTGGTTAAGACGGGTCAGGGTAGGTGGGTAGGGTTAAGTTAGGATATAACTGTTTGGTCGGGTTGGTTAAGACGGGTGAGGGTTGGTCGGTAGGGTTAAGTAAGGATTTAACAGTTTGGTCGGGTTTGGTTAAGACGGGTCAGGGTTGGTCGGTAGGGTTAAGTAAGGATATAACAGTTTGGTCGGACAGGGTTAAGATTGGTCAGAGCATTGTTTTCTTGTTAAGTCAACAGGAAAATTGTTAAAAATATTTCATTAAATATTTCGCAAGCGAAATACACTGTGAAATACACTGTGAAATATCTAATATTAAACTTAATTTAAAACTTCGATTGCATCCCACTCATCAGTGTATTTGATAAAGTTGTGCAAATGAGGTACATATATTAAATGAATGTTATTTACAAAATATAAATCAGCCCAAAGCACCTCACTATCTTAATCTCTCATATTAAGTTGATCTGTATCACTTGTTTTTGCAAAAAGCACGCGTTTTTGATATTATAAATCCTTTCTTGTAGAATTAATTTAAAGGACTGGTGTTTTTTCTATGGTTAAGGGTATTTTATACAGAGGACATTTCAAATATGGGGTATTCTATAGATATGTCATTTAAAAGATGGGAAATTTCATAGATAGACAATAGACAAGACATGTCATGGATCGGACATATCAAGGTAGACAATAGACAAGACATTTCATTGATAGGACATTTTATAAATAGACAATAGACAAGACATTTCATAGATCGGACATTTCATAGATAGACAATAGACAAGACATGTCATGGATAGGACATTTTATAGATAGACAATAGACAAGACATTTCATGGATCGGACATTTCATAGATAGACAATAGACAAGACATTTCATGGATAGGACATTTTATAAACAAGACAATTAGCAGAGATAGAGGATACGGACGTAACACGGGTGTTGAAAATTGTTTTTAAACAAAATGTATTTCAGGTTGTAATACCTCCTGATACCTTCCAGCAACATGTCGCTTCTTTGAAATGTTTTCTATGTACCTAATACCCAACCTATAAATGTATTTCAGGTTGTAATACCTCCTGCAGATACCTTCCAGCAACATGTCCCTTCTTTGAAATGTTTTCTATGTACCTAATACCCAACCTATAAATGTATTTCAGGTTGTAATACCTCCTGCAGATACCTTCCAGCAACATGTCCCTTCTTTGAAATGTTTTCTATGTACCTAATACCCAACCTATAAATGTCCATATATGATTTTCTTAAATGTCCCGATACCATAAACTTCACATAGTGGTGCGTAGCCAGACAGATCAGCTGTCAGCAGCAAATCATACATTCAAGAATGATCAAATTAGATCAAATATGATTGAGTAAATTGTTTACCTCGGTCCCTGAATAGTAACCACAGTCCCAGAGTTAAACACCTAAATACAGATGAACAAATCTTTATTCAGCAATATATATGTGCAATATTACATGGTAAAAACCAAAAAAAATGTGAAAGATGAAGACGACATTATAACAATAAAAGTGAACGTTACTTTTTTAACGTACAGGGTGTGCCAGATCAAATTAGACCGCGTCAATGGGTCTAAATTACGATTTGGGGGACAAATCAGAAAATTTAAAAAGAATGAATCATTTTGAAAAATTCATTAAGGCTAATAGAACATTTTTTTCAGAAAATACTAGATTTTTCGAGTATTATGTGCGTATTTAGGTGTTAAAAATTGGAGATAATCTAATATGATATGGGACGCTCTGTATAATGTTGAAACATTAATATGTTAGTTTATGATATTACAAAATTTTACAAAAATAAAACATTTTTTTTATGTTTTTAAACATGACAATGTACTGACCTTGTAATTGAGATTTAAACAGACTTTCTCTAACACACTCCGAGTTCTGAAAAACAAGGTCATTGAGGTATATGGATTTAAAATTTAGGTGTTCAGAAATATGCGGCGTGAGGGTTCACTTATTAGAAGTGTACGGGGTGGGGGTCAGTTTATTAGAATTATAAGGGGTGGGGGGTCCCTTTGTTAGAAGTATACGGTGTAAGGGTCCACTTATTAGAAGTGTACGGGGTGGGGGTCCGTTTCTTAGAATTATACGTGGTGGGGGGTCCCTTTGTTAGAAGAATACGGTGTAAGGGTCCACTTATTAAAAGTGTACGTGGTGGGGTTCCATTTATTAGAAATATACGGAGTGAGGGTCCATTTATTAGAAGTGTACGGGATGGGGGGTCCCTTTGTTAGAAGTATACGGTGTAAGGGTCCACTTATTAGAAATGTATGGGGTGGAGGTCCATTTATTAGAAATATACGGAGTGAGGGTCCATTTATTAGAAGTGTTAGGGGTTGGGGTGTCCCTTTGTTAGAAGTATACGGTGTAAGGGTCCACTTATTAGAAATCATAAATTTTTAATACAGGGTCTACTTTGAAGTGTCGCAACGCCTTGGGCTTGTGTTTTCACCGCTCTAACTCACTTATGCTTTTCTGTTGCCCTTTACATGTACATTTTAGCACCATACAGCACTTGTTGTTAGTTTCAGTTTTTAAGAAGTAATTGGAAAAATTCTCATAAATATCTGATTGAGAGCTCGCAACCTTTAAATCATAGTGGGGGGTCCATTTGTTAGAAGTGTACGGAGTGGGGTCCATTTATTAGAAATATACGGGGTGAGGGTCCATTTATCAGAAGTATAAGAGGCTGGGGATCAGGTTTGGATACAGGGGGGTGCGGAGGTACCTTCGCACCCCCTGGTGGACTCAGTGGGGGCAATGCCCCCCCCCCCCCCCCGAGATTTTGAGGGAAAAATGTTCCCAATTTGCTACAATAATTTTTTAAAATTTATTTCATCGTTTGTATCCATTTTTCTAGTTATTTGAAGGAATTATGATATTATTATTCAAAACAAAGAGAAGAAGAAATGACCTACTTAAATAAGAACAAAAAAACAAGTAAGTAAACCTTTTTTAGGATTTTAGGAACAAAGTTAAAAAAGAAAGAATTAGGTTTAAAGAAAAGGAACAATAGTCAATACAATAACACAAATGTTGGGTTGGATGAGTAGGAACAAGAAAGGAAAAACTACATTAGGAACATAGAAAAAAAAACAAAAGAACGATAAAATGGGAACAATAACAGGAACATTGACTATTGAACTAGCTTGGAACAAGCAAAAAAAAACTATGAGTCTCGTGCATGCACTAAGAACATAAGAACAATAATGAAATACATAATCTAAGGAACAATAAAAAGATCGTTAGAAAATAGGATGAAAACTAAAGGATTTAGGATCTAAGGACACACTGTTAGGAATAGGAACAAAAATAGGAACATTAAACAAGTTACAAGTTAGGAATAAAAATGAAAGAACTAGGAATTAGGAATACGAAATGATGATCAACAAATAAAGGTTCAAAAAAGGAGACATACATATGCGAAAAAAATGTCATTCATGCTGTACATTAAATAGGAACAATAGTCAATAATAGGAACATGATGCAAGGTAAGAACAAAAAGAAATTACTAGGAAAGTTATATACACGAAAAGGAATTGAGCCTTTGTCACAAATCTCTGGAACCCAATGTCGTAGACATTAGATATTTCAAACTATGAACCCTGTTAGATTAAATATTCAAAGTTTAAAATATCAAACATTATCAGGTTGCAAGGATATAATGCACGAGAACTTATGATTGTGCAAAGACTCAATTCCCTTTGAGTGCTTTCTGAAATAAATTATTTGGGAATTTTTATTTAAATCCTGTCTTGTGAAATGATAGGATTTTAATAAAGTTTTTTGAATTTTAAGAAGCTTATTATATTCTTTTATTATATTAATGATTCTAATGAATCCAGAAAAAAAGTAACATGGAGACAAATTGAAATTAAATGTAAAATATGGTCTGGTTTAGGAGAAGCTGTTCTTAGTTATCCTCAAGGTTGCAGGAAGTTTTTTTCGAATTTTAGTTTTGGGAAAACTGAAGATTTGAGCTTTTTTGATCTTTTAGGCATTTACAGTTTACATCCTTACTTTCCCTGTATTAAAAGTAGTAATGACTATTCGTGATTTAAAAATTTTCTTTAATACATTTATTTATAGATAAACTCAAATGTATAAGTCTTATACCTCCAGTTTTTTTGTTAAAATGCAAATAGCTTCTCAAAAACAAAATGCAAAACAGGAAAAATATCTCTCTTAATAAATGTAATATAAGTTAAAAATCTAGTTTTTTAGTCTTAGTCTTAAATTTTGACCCTTTTAGAGTCCTTCAGGTTAAAAAAATGTTCGCCTGCCCCGCTCCTCATTTTTGCTTCTACTTACACATTTTTCTTGTACCTAAAAAATCTTGCACCCCCCGGCTTAAATCCTTGCTTAGGGTTCATTTATCAGAAATATACGGTGTTTATCTTTTTATCTATTTTGTATTTTTTACAACATTTTTATCAAGTTATTTTTTCATTTTTGACATGATTAGTTTGTTCTTTTTTGACATTACTAAGGCTTGCCCATACCTGGAGCAGAATGCAGGTTCCATAGGAGTATGTGCAACTCCTTTAAACCCGTCTCCGCCATAGAAGCTCTGAACCCTACCCTGGGTTCGGTCAAGAAAGGAGTCAAGGAGAACAAAACTTCCAGGAGATATCTCTTCCTGTTTTATAAATATATTGTGAGTAGATTTAGTCACTTAATTTGAAGGGAAACATGCTCCATTTTTTTTTCAACCTGTAGAATATATAAATCTGATGTTACTAAAATCTACCCTAAATACCCAGCAAACCTGAAGATCAAACCTAAGGTTTTCATCATCTGGATTATCCAGGTTTCTTGTCTTTTTTAATGATATTATTTTCTTTCAATAGCTAGCTTATTCAGATTATTAAAAGCATTGTGCAAATTCATGTCAAAAATGTATTTAACATATTGCATTCCAAGACTATCAGCACAATACAAATTAAACTGAAAATATTAATATTGTTAACTTAATATTAGTATTTTTGGAATTTTCTAATGTTACAAAATTAAAAGAATTGCGGACACAAAATATTTTAAATAGTACGCGAATTACTTCATATTCTCAAATAGATTCTCAAGTACAATAGTGGCAACAGAGAAATGGACCGATTATACATGACGTCACAAGTGTTGAATATAACAAGAAAACAAAATTTTTTCACACAAGCTGACATGTTTTCCAAGATTAAATAAAAAGTGTAAAAACAGAAAAAAAGAACACAAAAATTTAAACCGTAAAATACACTTTATTCCAAAATTATCACTATTATTAGTAATTTTGACGTATACAAAAACTAAGTTGACACTTGTGACGTAAGAAAACAGCTGAGAGTTTACAAATTCAACGTTGCCATCTATTGTATTGTGCTAGAATCTTTTGGTTATACATTATATACAGCATAACGACTTTGAAATAAGACTGTACACCAACTATTTCCTCCCTATTTACATGGAGATTAATGTAATGGTGAACTCCTTTGATATTTCAAACGTTGACTATTTGATCTCGCAGATTTCAAAGGTCGGACTGCAAAGATATAAGAAAAATAGAACAATAATTTGAGGCGTATAATCATATCCTGGGACACCCTGTGTGTTTGCAGATTTTCTATTAAATGAACCTGAGACCTTGAGAGATCCACAGGCTGAAACGGAGAGTATATGTGTAACACCAATCTCCTAACAATAAAAATTTTTGAAAACATTTCACACGCTAGAGGCGCTAGTTTGTGTTGTATCAGCTGGAACCCTGTAAAAGAAAGCAAGCAGAAACCTGTTTTCTTTTAACTTTCTACAGACTTGGTGACCTCTACGGCGGGATATTAATTAGAATGCACGCGTCGCAGCAGGAGGAGACGCAAAGGGGAGGGGGTTCCAGCTAGTCCAGTCAGAAAAGGGGGGGGGCTGGTGGGGGATGTAAACTCTATATATCTCTATTGGCTGGATCCATTCTTCTTACATCTCTTCTCACACAGATGCTAAACCAACTCATTCTGCATTATCATGGATAACAATTTATCCGGTTTTATAATTCTTGAAATAAAACTGAAAATCTTGGCAAGGTTAGAATCTGTTTGATTTCTCTCTCTGACCTGGAGATATATCAAGACTCACTAAGTGCCAGGATTGCCAATTTCACTTTTTCTCAGTAAAATCTTTCCAGAACCAAATCCAATTTGTTATCTTTGCGGTTTTATCTGTCAGATAGATAAATAAAACCTACAATAATTTATTGAATCAGGATATATATATATCTATATATACTTTTTTTGAAAGGTTTTTTTCTTTCTACTGGCAGGGTTACCCCACAAAAGACGACCTAAAACTCTAAAATTTTAAGTATTTTTTTGTCTTGAATATATAGTATAAAATTATATATTTACTTATGAAGGCAAAGAAAAATATGTTTACTGTTGGAGGGAGCCATGAATTATAAGAAAAAAGTCCGAGTAAATTCCGTACAGTCGTTGTCTGAAGTCTCATCCTTTTTGGGAAACCCTGTATCATGGTTGCTGACTGCAGGGTGCCCCACCAAACATGAAAGTTTTAGCTTTTCTTTGATGTTTTATAGCTATTAAAGGACAAAGTGCGTATCATGTTTGCTGGGCCACCCTGTATCATCTTCAACTTCCAACTAGCTGATATCGTTTATTGCTTCTCAAGATTGCTAATCTTTGTTTGAAACTTTAAGATATATTAACATATATAGAGAATATATATCTATTCAATCTAAAATTGAACTTTATCTGAAAAGAAAAACCTATATTTTGACAGGAGCGTTTTAAACCAAAAATTGGAAATAATTGAAAAAAATAAAATTCAATAACTACTTATTTTCAATTTTCGTACATAATGACTATTACATTTTTGAAATAGGAATAATGCAAGGTTGTCTAATTAATGTTGTTATAAAGCAAATTTTTTTAAACGGTTTAAAAAGAATCGAGTCTTTGCCACAAACTCTGATTTGCTTGCATTCTTATATCATATATAAACAGTAGAGGAAATTTTAGATATAAACACTTTTTAACCAGATAAACTACGTTTCACATTATTGTTAAAAAAAAGTTTTAATATGACAAGTACCTAGAGAGTATGCCTCCCTCCCCCCTCTACCTTTAAAGCCCAGATATTAGCTCTATAATTGATATCTCCAGGTAGAATTGTATGCTCTAATCCATGTCGAGCCAGCATACATACATCAACTCCATCAACTCGTCCCTCTACTATAGGAGCACTAGGAGAACCAAATGGAGTAGAAACAACAACCTCTCTAAAAAAAATATCATTAAGGACCACCCATTCTGTGCATTTATTTCGTATATCGTATTTTTATCAAATTAAAGAAAATGTATTTGTGATTTTTGACATTTACTTTTTTTCTCTATAAATTCCTCCGATAACGTATTAATGAAAAATGTGATTTTGCAAATATTTTCTGCATGGTAAATTTGTTCTACAGAGTTACCCACAAAATATGAGACTTCCAAAATAAAACTGTACATTGTACACTCATGGTTCTCTGCAGCTGTCAACTTTTTAAATTTTTCATTGAAAAACTGTACAGTGTACATACACTCATGGTTCCCTGCAGCTGTCAACTTTTTTTTTTTCATTGAAAAANAACTGTATTTCCTTTTTAAATTTTTCATTGAAAAACTGTACAGTGTACATACACTCATGGTTCCCTGCAGCTGTCAACTTTTTTTTTTTTTCATTGAAAAACTGTACAGTGTACACTCATGGTTCCCTGCAGCAGCTGCCAACTTTTTAATTTTTCATTGAAAAATTGTACAGCGTAAACTCGTGGTTCCCAGCAGCTGTCAACTTTTTAAATTTTTCATTGAAAAACTGTACAGTGTACACTCATGGTTCCCTGCAGCAGCTGTCAGCTTTTTAAATTTTTCATTGAACAACTATACAGTGTGCACTCGTGGTTCCCTGCAGCTGACAACTTTTTTTATTTTTCATTGAAAACTCATTTAATATTAATATATCATTAAAAGACCTTCAACTATCTAAATAGAACGATCTAAAGATTGAAGAAGTCTTTTAATGGGTGTAAGGGTACTTTCCAAAAGGCTTTTCCTAAATGTTCAATTTCCCAAGTGTGCCCTCTACCAAGTCTGTTTAAACGACAGCGTAACAGAATATTTAAATATTTGAAGATCGTCGTTAAATCTCAAACACAAATTTTCGCTGATTTTCTGTGTTAAAAATGATGGATTTTCATAAACAATAATGGTCGACATTTTTACCGGACAAACGTTTCAATTTTTGACCAACAATAAAACTTCCGCATGGTCATGTGAGTGGCCACAAAAAAAAAAATTAGGCCAGGGCCAGATAGGTTCAGCTGTTTTGTTGTTTTATTGATACAAACAAACAATTACACCCAGACAGACAAAACAATTTATATTTTACTTTACAGAGGAATTAATTTCTCACGACTCACGCTCAGAAGAAATATAATTTTCCGAGAAGCTTCATTTTTGTAATCCTGCATGGATGGATCAAGAGGTTTGGTGATTTTATATCTTAATTTTGTCCAAAAATATTGCAAGACACAATGACACACAGAATTAAGAGACAAGTGAAAAATACTATAAGAAGACCATCTCAGAAATACAAATATGCTGTCTTACAATATTTTTTCGGCGCGCAGGTCTTTAAGGCTATCTTCTATTTTAACTTCTAATTGTTGCTCTATTTGTGAGAATTTTCTCTTTGTATACATTATAAAACAATAAGAAAAAAATTCGCGAATTTTATAATATTTTTTCGTGGACTTTCAAAACTTCAAGAAAATCAAACAAACAGTCCAGTGAACATAAATAACACGGGAATTGTGCAGTGCACCCAGACCCAGTTCACTTAATAAGTTAATTTTAATGTTTCGTACTGCAGTACCTCTTCTTGAGATGTTAAAATTTATAAGAGCTCTAAAGTTCTCTATAGAGACACTACAGGGTCGAAAATTTAACCCTATTCCCGCTGGGTGGGGGGTCAATTTGACCCCCCCCCCCTGTAGTTTTTTTTACATAACTCAGAAAGTATNAGTTTGCAGATATACAGAGTTTGCAGATTTACAGAGTTTGCAGATTTACAGAGTTTGCAGATATACAGAGTTTGTAGATTTACAGAGTTTGCAGATAACAGAGTATGCAGATTTACAGTGTTTGCAGATATACAGAGTTTGCAGATTTACAGAGTATGCAAATTTACAGAATTTGCAGATTTGCAGAGTATGCATATCTACAAAGTTTGTAAATATACAGAGTTTGCAGATTTACAGAGTTTCCAGATTTACAGAGTTTGCAGATATACAGAGTTTGCAGATTTACAGAGTTTGCAGATTTACAGAGTTTGCAGATATACAGAGTTTCAAGATATACAGAGTTTGCAGATTTACAGAGTTTGCAGATTTACAAAGTATGCAGATTTACAGAGTTTGCAGATTACAGAGTATGCAGATTTACAGAGTTTGCAGATATACAGAGTTTGCATTTCTAATACTCGTATTGTAAACATTTCTTGGAGTCAACATAACCAATCCCATGACAAATATTGTACACTATATATTAACAATTTGGACAAATAAAATTCTTTTAAGTTTACTTTTTATACTTTACATGATAAGATTGCAAAGCCTTTCCCGTATTTCCGAAAAAAATTTATTTCCCTTCTTATATTAAGATAGGTATGAGCCCTGTAAACTATACTCTCATGTCTCTTTACTCACTCTTGGAATAAGAGTTAAACAAGATTAATCTAGTATTCTTCCATCCTTTAGGATCTCAGCCAAAAAGATTTGTTTCAAGACCAGTTCGAGGAGGGAATAATCCAGAATTTTAAATTCTAATGATTTTCCTTAAAGAATTTTAGCTTGATTTTCATGTTCTTTTACATTTTACATTTTTTCATAATTTTGCGCAATACTTAGCTTTACGTTTCTATCAAATAGATTCTAGTACAATAGATGGCAACGTATAATTTATACACTCTCAGTACAGCTGTATTATGACGTCACAAGTGTCAATTCAATTTTTGTGTCCGACAAAATTATTAATAACTAGCTGAAGAACCCGGCGTTATGAAATTTTTTTATTTTGAAAAGAAAAAAAATTAGAAAAAAAAATTTCGATTTTTGTTAGCCTATAACACCTCCCGGCCACCCATGTGTGTCCACAAAAAATTTCAACCCAATCAGTCCATCCGTTTGGCCGGCTATATGCAACATAGAAATATACAAATGTCTTGTTTTATTATATAGATAGTGATAATAGTAAATAATCTTACAGTAAAATAAGTGCAATTTTATAAGTTCTTTATTTTCTGTTTGCAAACTTTTATTTAATCTTGGAAAACATGTCAACTAATGTGAGAACAATATTTTTCCTTGTTTTATTTGACACTTGTGACGTCATGTATAATTGGTCCAGATGCCAACTATTAAACTTGATAATCTATTTGGTTTCTAGTAAGCGTGAATTTGATGATAAATACAGCTTATATAAAAAAATATTTTATTATTATCAAAACTTGACATTCTAGCTTAAATTTGTTTTGTTTTTTAGCAAACTACAAAATACACTTTAAAAACAACCTTTCTCATCTATAATAATTACTTTATTATCGTTGAAAAATTTATATCTCAGTGGGGGGGGGGCATTAGTAGAAGATTTTAGGTATTTAGGACTACATTTATCATAATTTATGTTATGCAGTAATTTCTAGAAAAATATATTTGTGTAGTAAGCTTATAATCTAACCTCTTCTTTTGAAGAAAGCATAAAACTAACCTCTGCTCTTGATGTAAGCATAAAACTAACCTCTGCTCTTGAAGAAAGCATAAAACTAACCTCTGCTCTTGATGTAAGCATACAACTAACCTCTGCTCTTGAAGAAAGCATAAAACTAACCTCTGCTCTTGAAGAAAGCATAAAACTAATCTCTGCTCTTGACGTAAGTATAAAACTTACCTCTGTTCTTGAAGCTCCTCCATCTTATAGAAGCCAGATCCACCAATAATTCCGATCTTAATTCGACTCATTTTATTTTCTTTGAAAAAATCCGCGTAAAGATATGGCTATTTTGAACTGAAAAAATACTGGGATACATTTTAAATACTAAACATAATTTTTGACCTTTCAAGGTTTTACTATAATTTTAACTAATACTTGGAGTACTGATGATTGTACTTTTAAATCAAACTTAAAAGTACGAATATGAACACTGCTTACAAAACTTCACTGCAGCACGAAACAGCTGTAAACACTATACAAGGATAAACTGTAGTGGTAGGATGAAACTGAACGTGCTAGCACCCCNCGCCTTTAAAGTATATTCTAACCCGAAATAGCCAACCGGCAGAAACCTGATATAAGAACAGGTTTCTAACTATTAAAGACTGAATCTGTTATCAACTCATTATTGGATACATTAGATACATAGAGTACGGCCGATATAAAATATAATGAATACTGCAGTGAGAGCCATAAAATTGTGGAATAGGAAGACGACATTTAAGCAATAGTTAAGTGTATTTTATGGTGTTACGCAGCAAATAGTTTGTAACTTGATTCTTAAAAGTCGTCCAGAGTTTAATGGTTATCGCTGTACCTTCTCCTTCCCTCTCAGCATCTTCTCCCATCTCCGTACTTGTCTCCGGACACCGTCCCCCCCCCTCAATATCTTCTCCTACCATCTCCACTCCTACACCTTCTCCTCCCCTCAGCATCTTCTCTCACCATCTCCAATCCTACACCTTCTCCTCCCCTCAGCATCTTCTCTCGCCATCTCCACTCCTACACCTTCTCCTCCCCTCTGCATCTTCTCCCACCATCTCCCCCAACTTCTACATTTTCTAATAATTTAGATTAGACATATGTATCGATTTTCCGACCCGTAAATCAAAGACGATATTTTGTCAGGCCTTGAATTTAATTCCATGTAAAACAAAAACGTTATGTATCTGCAAAATATAAAAACCATAGATAAAGATAAATAAGACGACATTTTTCATCTTGAAAGATATAAATATTAAATGTACAGAGATGTTTTAAAGATATTCATATTCTGATTAACTAGGTCGGTTGTGAACATTGAGTACTTGTGGTGTACATGAGTTTTGGGAGTTCTGTAGAGAGAAATTTAAGTTAGTTTAGTTTAGTCCTTCTCATGTCTTTCTTCAGTTCTCGACAATATGATGTATTGCTCAGTGAAATATTGTTGTTCAAATAGTTAAATTAAAACAACAAACCACCCCGCTTATCATTGAAGTACACTTTGACCCCAAGAGGTATGAGTTAGCGGACTGTAAAATTCTTGGTGATTTTGCGTGCATAAGCTATCTATGTTTATTTATTTATCTATGATAAAACCTGATTCAGGTGTACTTCAAGATTTCTTCAAACTAAGCAAAAATTACAAACCCCAGAGTTTTCTTTTTGGGCCGTCTACAATAAATAAACAGAAACTGTAAATAATCTTACAAAACAATATTTCTGAACAAAAATGTTGGTTTCTATCTACACATTTGTCCACACTATTCATGAAACCGGTTTTCCAAAAATTTTGTATCAGGCTTTTAGTAAAGGACCTGAACACTTTCTCATCCCAATATTTTTACAACCTGATGGTGTAAACCTTTTATGCTTCAAACTTTTCCAATTTGATCTGGCAGAATTTATAGTTTGAAATATCAAAGTTCTACTATATATATTAGGACTTTAAGTAAATTAGAATTTTCAGCAAGTTTTTAGTTCCTTTCAGCAAACACGGCTATAGAACTGTTCCATGTAAATATCTAAAATCTAATACATAAGTTTATAACGTAGATCCTAGAAACTTAAATAAACTTTGTGAAATTTATAATAATATTTAATCAGATGCCATTGGATCTAGTATGGAAATTGCTAATTCCTGAGAAACAAATGGACTATAAGTTATGTTAATAATATATAAAAAATAATAATAATATAAATTATGTTCGATCAAATATTCTATGCTTAAAATATTAAAAATGTACACTATCCTGAGCGGAAAAACTCTTGCAATGTGGATATCGAAAACAATGCTTGCGATTTCTTCTTTTTTTTATCTGCAGATTTTTTTTAATCTAAATATTTATTTTTTAATTTTAAGGAATATTTGGAAACATACCAGGGTGGCGTTGTTATCTTTAGACTATTTAATCTATATTTGATATCTACTATCTACTATCTACTATCTACTATCTACTATCTACTATCTACTATCTACTATCTACTATCTACTATCTACTATCTACTATCTACTATCTACTATCTACTATCTACTATCTAGGAAAGTGTCGTAAAATCAGAGTGTCATTTGCAAAAATTGAATAGCCAATCAGAAGCCGGAAAATGTTGTGCGTAGTCAAAGAGAAAACTCTGCAGGGGTTTCTAAACGAGAGTATTAAGCAGAAAATCAAAAGGGTCCACAGTAGATATCTAGATTATGCGGGATTAAGGGTATCCAACAAAAGAGTTTCCAGCTCAGGTTACAAAGAAATTGAGTCTTTGTCATAAACTCTGGTTTTCTAATCCCTGTTATATCTTTGAAAACCAATGTCGTAGATCATAGATATTTCAAACTATGAATTCTGTTAGATTAAATAATTTAAGCTTGAAATATCAAAGGTTTACGTCATCTGGTTGCAAAATTTGAGTTTATTGCAAAGACTCAATTCCTTTATTGCGATTAAAAATTTGAATTGGAGGCAAAAACAACTATTAAAATAAGTTAAAAAATAAGGTTTCCATAGCGCGTGGTTGACTTTATATAGACCCGGTGTAGTGCATGGGGTGGACTCGACTGAATGTGCAGACAGTTTTAACCATTTCAACGCAACGTTAGACATAAAAAGCAATGTTGAAACTTTCAAATTATTAGTTGATATATTATATATATAGTACATATATTAAATACTCATTTAGTTCTTTAATGTATTTTAAAGGGGATAGAGGCAAAAACTGTATTTCCTCTTAAATGTCGTCTTCCATTCAAATCATCAAAACAATTAATATTTACTCGAGACATAGATAATTTTTAATGCGTTTTTCCAAACAGAATACATTAATAAATATCGGAAACTGTCATAACATTGTTTTTTATGTCTAAAATTGTGTTGAAATGGTTAAAACTTTAGTATGAGCCCGCCCCATGCAAGAGCCCCCTCCATGCATGACTCCGGGTTCGGATATATGCATAAAGCTTAATGTAAGGCGCCAGAATGAATTCTTAATCAAGATTTGTCAGATTACAAAGCTAAAATACTGGAGATATCAATGCCGGGCCTGGCGAGCCATTACTATTCAATATCTTGGAGCTTAGAATTATCATCAATCAAACATGTCTCTATATTAACATAGTATACTGTAGGAGGATCAGATATTTACAAATATTTGTCGATGGAGCTAAAAAGGGTATCGTTATTTTGTATTTCTTTCTTAACATTCAATTTGTTTTTTGATTTCGAGGCTCCGCAAGAATTTAAGATGTTCATTTATTTCAAGATTGAAGTGTAGTGTTATGGTATTGTGGCAATTTAAACGATAAAAGAATACAAGAACGATTTACAGGGTTACCCACAAAGGATGAGACTTCAGAGACGAGTTTACGAAATTATTTGATATTTTACATTAAATATTGGTGTCCAACAACTATATAACCTAAACCTTTCTTTGCAAAAACATCTTGTAAAGACTAAACTATGATCAGAAGATCATCTTTAACCTTTAAATTATTATTTCCAATTTTTTTAGGTCGTCTTTAATCCTTTTTGGGTAACCCTGCATCTGAACTCTGTTTTCAAACATTTTTTCTGATTTTAAATTTTTGTATGTCGACCCAATCGGTCCAGCCGTTTTGACGTTTATTGGACCAAACCAAATGGTATATATTCACTGTATACAGAGATAACCATTACACACTGGAATATGGAGACGACATTAAGACTCAAACTGCTCAATGAACATTATACACGGCAATTGTCTGTAGGGGTAAATAGTCACATTTAACTTAATAAATAATTTGAAAAGTTGCTAGTATAACAATTTGCCTTGTAACAACAGCAAATACGGAAAAGTTTGCTAAAATGTCGTCTTCCTACTCAAACATTTTCCGGTCCTCACTGTATATCAGGATCAATTTTATTAACATGGAAATTAAGTGACATCTTAATTTAATCTTTGATCAACTCAGAATTATTTCCATGACATAATTAAATTTCGTCGTTTATAACTGATCAATTGGATCATTTTATAGATTTAAATTTCCATTATTTTTGGCAATTTTAGATGGTATTTTATTCCATGTTTTTTAGATACCACTGAAAGAATCAAATATTTGCAAATTGACCAACTTTTAACAGTTCCCAGTTTAGAATTTGACTGTTTTACACTGTAATGTGAATAAATTTGCAATTTCTATTCTTTGGTTGAAACTAGTATATTTCAAAGAAAAGATAAAACCAGAAGTATAGACTTTAATTGCTCATTAAGTTGCATTAAATATTTAGGATTATTTTTTAATAATAATAAAGGGACTGTAAGCGAAATTCAAAAGACCTTTCATGCAAAGATGGCATTACCCGATTTAAATTGGTATATACCCTTAAAAGCTTTGTCTGATTAAGTATGAATTAAATATGAATTGCTATCTCTGTTTCCATGTTTTGTGTATCCATGCTGTTCAAAGTTTCATATAAATCAAAATTAGAATCAAAAGTCGTCTTCATTATATTGATGTAATCGCCTACCACCGCATGAATTAAATATGAATGTTTTTGTTTACTTAAACTGTTTATTTGCATTCGTGGTTTCTCTGCAAAAGCAATTTGCGCATATCGCGCTTATAATGAATATTGGAGAAATTCATAGAAATAAACAATTTTTGTGACAGAAAAACGATGTTATCATCCACATTTTCGATTAGATGAAGGTTTCAAGGGTACCGTTGTAAATCGGGAATTTCCATTTTTGCATATTGAAATTACGCTTACAGTCCCTTTAATCTATTTTATTGAGGGTGAAACTTCAGCTATCTGTGGTTTCTGTAAAAAATCAGTAATTTTCTGAATGCCTGAAATGGGTTTAAACATCGGAAAGACACAAAAGTGATGCAGACCAGGGGGTATTCAGGAATTTGTCCAGGGCGGGGCTTAAATTTTTTTTTTTTCCAGGAGGGCTCAGCACCCGTTGGGGCATGAAAACCCCCTGAAATCAATAGATTTCACTGGTCCAGAGGGGGGGCTTAGCCCCCATAGCCCCCCCCCTGAATACGCCTCTGGTGCAGACTGCAGGCAATGAATTCATTCTGACCCCTCTCATTTTTCACGAATACTTTATTTAGACTTGAATAATGCTAAAAAATTTCCAAAATAATTCATTTTTCAAATTAAAAAATATATATTGACTTGAAACAACGAGGCGTGTCCTAGTAAAATGTAAATTCTTGCGCGCGGAGAGAAATAATTGCACGCACATAATCTGAAATAAACTCACTAAGCACATCTTGACTCCGTTTTAGGCTCATTGTTGAAAAATGTTAAGGATTGCGTAGGCTTTTTAATGGTCAGCTCTGTCAACTGGAATGCCTACGCACAAATATGCGTCAGGTGTTCCTGTTCATATACGCAGAAATACACGAAAACTTCAATCTTTCAAACCGTCTAGACTGCCGAGTGTAGAATGTATAGACTTGAAGTAAGAAAATCTTCCTACGCATATTTGGATAAAACACAATAGAGATTAACTCAAAACAAGATGGAGATTAATTGACCGCTGTTCGAGAACTTTCTCGACCAATTTCGTTCAACTGAGAACCGACAACAACTTTAAGGTTCTTCTAAACGGTTTCTCTTTGTTGATCCTTACTTGTACACGTTTAACAACCATTTTTAAGGTTTATTTTGCGGATTTTCGATGATTTTTGTGGTTTTGTTTGCGGTTTTCCCTGTAATGATCTCAGCAAGTGTGGTTGTGTGTGAGTGCGTGGGTGGGGCAGGTTTTAAGCTCCGATATCAGTTTAAGTCTGGTCCTCATCTTGCCAACATGTTAGTGCTGCTCTTTTCAAAATCTTAATCGATTTTTTATTCAAATCAATTTTCTTCGCTTGTTCAAATAAGATTTAAGACCAATAATAGCTCAGCAAAAGCAAAAGCAGGAACATTAATTTTAGGTCTTGACTTTAAATTCACAATGAAGAAACGTTTGATAAGATTATATGTTTTCCTCTGTTTACGCATGTAAAAACAAACTACAGTAATCAAACAAAATAAGGAAAGAGCTGATGTTGTGTAGAGTAGAGAATATGGAGCTTCTCAGATGTGTTTCAACCTCTCCTCCTCCTTCTACTCATCCTTCTCATCCACATCAGGCCTCTTCACAATATACTAACCGAGCAAAGTATGAAGAACTTTCTATTATACATAATATTCAGAGGCATAGTTGAGATTTATGCTAAGCTAGAAGTAGTTCAACTAGATTAATCTAGTTGAACTCTTTCTCTTGTGCCACTGCCAACCGAGATCAATTATTAAAGAAGTAGTTCAACTAGATTAATCCAGTTGAACTGTTTCTCTTGTGCCACTGCCAACCGAGATCAATTATTAAAGAAGTAGTTCAACTAGATTAATCCAATTGAAATGTTTCTCTTGTGCCACCGAGATCAATTTAAAAAGAAGTTCAACTAAGCGTGCCTAGTTACACAACTTTTCGCTATTCATTAGTTCTTACCCCAGTGTGTAGAGTGTACCACAAAACATGAGAGTTGAGAGGCAACTTTGCGACTGTCTTTAATCTAATGACAAAGGAATTGAGTTTCTGCCCCAACCTCTTATTTTCTAATCCCTATATCTTTGCAACTTGATGTTGTAGACCTCTGATATTTCAAACTATAAATTCTGTTAGATTAAATAGTCTAAGTTTGAAACATGAAAGGTTAACACCGTCAAGTTGCAAAGAAAGATGGATTAGAAAATTTGACAAAATTGTGACAAAATCTCAATTCCTTTGTACAAAAAAAAAGTTGATAATGTGGTACACCGACTAAACAACCTCTACAATTTTTCGATAGATAGCCTTGGACGATCAAGGTCGATCTTCAAGTCGTCTTTAGAATGTCATGTTCAGGGGGTAGGGCTGGGCGTCGGTCCTGGGGAACGATCGTTCCTTCACGGCAACGAACGAAACGGAACGAACGTTTCTAAAAAAATAACTTAACACGCCTAGCCCTAAATCTAAATCTAGTTCCTGTTTGATAAATCAATTGAGATTTTGCTTTTAATTAACCCATGATTCAACGCCAGTTTTCACACTACGATATTTTGCTGGGAAATGTTTGAAGTTTTTGACTTGAGGATTAAGTTTTAATAAATATTTGACAGCTGGAAAACATTTCCTTCTGAGATCAATCTTTAACTTAAAAGATTTTCGGCGGCATATAAAAAGAAAATGAGAATTACACATTCGTTTCTAATGTTTTAATATATCCGCTGATTACTATACCTATAGTTTGTGTTGAAATGAATTAGAGCTTTCCCTTTAATTCCAGTATAAGAGAAATCTATCTCTTTAATTCCAGTATAAGAGAAATATATCCCATTAATTACAATATAATAGAAATCTATCCTTTTTATTACAATATAAGAGAAATCTATTCCTTTAATTCCAGTATTAGAGAAATCTATCCCTTTAATTACAATGTAAGAGAAATCTCTTCCTTTAATTCCAGTATAAGAGAAATCTATCCATAACGTGTTTGGCTCATATCTAAATATAAGTAACACGAAACTTCCTAGAAAATTTTAAAACACATTTCCTGTTTGGGGTTTTCATACAGGGTTACCAACAAAAGATGATTCTCTTAAATAAAAAGATAATACACACTCTCAATCAAGTTTTTGGTGAGTGCTGCAGTAAATTGAAGTACACTGACCGAAAATATATATTATACCGTTTAGTGAAGAGCGTGCAACAGGTTTAATTTGATTTTCTGCCATAATAATTGTCTACTAAATCATTTAACAAAAAAAGACCAAAGAAACTTAGGAAATGCCACAGCTATAATTTTATAATCCCTTTAATCCCTGAATCTTTGCAACCTAAGCCCGAATTTAATGAATTTGAGCCGCGTCTGAAATCCCCCAAAAACTGGTTTCAATTGAGCACCGGCTTAAATCTTGAAACATTGAATACGATTTTTAGCGGAACCAACCATATTTAAGCCGCGACTTAAATTCTTTAAATTCGGTCTCGGGTGGCATAAACCTTTGATTTTTTAAACTTGGACTATTTGATGTAACGGAATTCTAGGTTTGAAAAATGATAAGTCAACGACATCCGGTTTTAAAGATATAAGGATCAGAAAATCATAGTTTGTGGCAAGATCTCAGTTCCTTTTACGGCCCGGCTGTAGGGATCCTTAAATGTAAGAACAAAGGCAGAATAAATTCCGTCCAGTATTCTCTATGGGTTATACCCATGCAATTTCGACTTATTGCTCAAATATTCTCTATTTTATCACCTTTCTTTATTCTAAATGTTCTTTTTAACATTTTCATCTTCTTTTTTCATTTTCTCGTTATTTTCTCGTCAATGCTCTTCTCCTTTTCAGGTTTGTCCCGTAAATACAGGGGAAATTAGTTCCCTAAACAATTGTTCGATTTATCTTCTTATTTTTCTGTCATAGTTTTCTTTCTAATGATTTCTTCTCTTCTCCTTTTTAAATCTCACTCCTTGTTTTCTAGATAGTGGTCCGGTTTAAACATTCTGGGTTTTTAAATCCCGCTCCTTGTTTTCTAAATAGTGGTACGGTTTAAACATTCTGGGTTTTTAAATCTTGGTCCTTGTTTTCTAAATAGTGGTCTGGTTTAAACATTCTTGGGTTTTAAATCTCGCTCCTTGTTTTCTAAACAGTGGTCCGGTTTAAAAATTCTAGGTTTTTAAATTCCGCATCTTGTTTTCTAAACAGTGGTCCAGTTTAAACATTCTGAGTTTTTAAATCCCACTCCTAGTTTTCTAAACAGTGGTCCGGTTTAAACATTCCGGGGTTTTAAATCCCGCTCCTTGTTTTCTAAATAGTGATCCAGTTTAAACATTCTGGAGTTTAAAATCTGCCTCCTTATTTTCTAAACAGTGGTCCGGTTTAAACATTCTGCGATTCTAAATCTCGCTCCTTGTTTTCTAAATAGTGGTCCGGTTTAAACATTCTGGGTTTTTAAATCCCGCTCCTTGTTTTCTAAATAGTGGTCCAGTTTAAAAATTCTGGGTTTTTAAATCTCTGTTCTTGTTTTTTACATAAATTGTGGTCCAGTATAAAATTCTGGGTTTTAAAATCTCGCTCCTTGTTTTCTAAATAGTGGTCCGGTTTAAAATTCTGGGTTTTTAAAGCTTGCTCCTTGTTTTCTAAATAGTGGTCCGGTTTAAACATTCTGGGGTTTTAAATCTTGCTCCTTGTTTTCTAAATAGTGGTCCGGTTTAAACATTCTGTGTTTTTAAACCTCGCTCCTAGTTTTCTAAATAGTGGTCCGGTTTAAACATTCTGTGTTTTTAAACCTCGCTCCTAGTTTTCTAAATAGTGGTCCGGTTTAAACATTCTGGGTTTTTAAATCAAAATCATTTGGTAATCTCATTATCTAATTCGTCGTTAAACCAAGCGGGACATTTTATACCTTTTATATGATTAAAGATTTTGTATTTCATGTGAATCTAAGAAAGCTGGTATATTTGAATATTTTGTTCTCACCAAGTTTTGTTTTATTAACTTATGAAAATGTGTTTAATACATTTTGTTAGATTCAAAATTCAGTGAAGGTGATGGACCAAACCTCTGTAGAGTAAAAAAGTAGATGTTAGTTCCACATTTATTGAAAATATATTTCGGTCTGGGTTGACCCTCGTCAGTTCTTGAGATTGTTTCTTCACAAAGATTAAAAACAAACATTTTGTTATTCAACATAATGTCTTTCTTATTCGACATTTTCCCTTTTCAATCTCGATACTAATTTCTTCTTTATAATCTAGATCTGAGGAGAAGACAGGAAAGATTCAAATCCCAGCAACAGTGAGAACAAGGAGACAAAGTTTACCTGCTCCAAGTCCTCAGGTTGTACGGAGAATTATCAGTTCCAGCTCTATGTCCAACCCGGCAGGTTGGAGTAAACACTATGAGAAGAAGAAGAGCACAGAGACTTTAGACCGACTAACCTCACGTACTCTCAGCCCACCCCCGGAGACTCTGCCCAGGAAATATTCCCGATCCCCATCCATCCTTTCTAATCATTCATCCTGTGGTCGTCTTCCCCGGCACCCTGAGCTACCGCCTCTTACCTCGGAGGTTGATGCTCCCAGGTTAAAGGACTACCTGGAGAAACCAAGACTTGTTAATTCTGGACCACGCCGTCCCAGTCAGGTACTTTCTTTTCATAGGGGGGGGTTCTGGGAAAGAAATGAATATACAGGAATTAGCAATAAATTGGATTTGGGAAAATGCAGATATAAGATAAAGTATAAAAAAGCAGAAAGATTAAAGATGTTGTGAATTGTGATGGAAAAGATTGTGATCAAAATTACAAAAATCACAGAAAAGACAAATCTGTAAGAAGAAGAGTTTTGTGGGCATCTACATTTTGGGTGTTTATTATACTGTTATTTATTAATTATCTAAAATTAAAATAGTTTCTTTATCTATTCATCATTTTCCAACCATTTCAAGAATTTGGTTACTGTCGCATTTATTCGGTTACATAAGCAGGTTAAAAAAGAAGACCGCTAATTTTGCTTTTCCATCTAGTCTACATTACAACATCTTGGAAAGAAGAGAGAGTTAGTGTGGATATCTTGTAATTTCAATTTTGTTGTGGGAGGTGTGGCGAATTACAACTATAAATGTATCTTAAAACCGTTTACAGTTTCCAGTAGGTGGTTTAGAAAAAGAAAGATGGGGTTCAGTTCGTCTTTCCTTTGTTTAGCTTGTCAAACCTGTCAGCACTGTCAGACATCTGGATATATATATGGAGCTTACTGATATGGATGCTCAGGGTTTAAAGCTGAACACAAGCTCTAGAATTGGATTGTGGGTATGCGAGATATAGGTTCTCAGGGTATATATAGCTAAACATAAGAACTAGGATCGGAGGAGATCGGTTGGATAAAGATTCTCAGGGTTTACAGCTGAACACCAGGTCTAGGATTGGATTGAGGGAATAGGTTTTACAGCCGAACACGCTCTAGGATTAGATCGATGGGAAAGGTTGGATATAGATTCTCCAGGATTACAGCTGAACACAAGATTTGGATAGGAGGGGATAGATTAGATATAGATTCTCCGGGTTTACAGCTGAACACAAGATTTGGATAGGAGGGGATAGGTTAGATATAGATTCTCAGGGTATACAGCTGAATACAAGCTCTAGAATCGAATCAAAGAGGTAGGTTGGATTTAGATTATCAGGGTTTATAGCTGAACACAAGCTCTAGGATCGGAGGTTGGATATAGACTCTCAGGGATTAAAGCTTAGCACAAAATTTAAGATCCGAGAGAATTGGTTGGATTTTATAGATTCTCAGGGTTTATAGCTTAACACAAAATTTAGGATCGGAGAGAATAGGTTGGATTATATAGATTCTCAGGGTAGACTCAATACTATTCAGCCCCTGTTGGATTAGGAGAGAGAATTGTTTATTTTTGGGCGTTTTCCTGCTTTATTGGTGGTGGGAGGGAGAAATCCAGAGAAAATTATATAGTAGACTAATATTTCTTCAATTCGGATCATTGCAGGAGTTTTTATTATTATTATTATTATTATCATTATTATTTAGCTACTGCAAATTTTTGCAAAAATTCCCTTTGGTAGTTAAGAAAATAAAAATGCTTATAGGGTCTGATAGGAGTAATTTCAAGTGACCCTTCATTTAAGAGTTGCACCCTAGATTCACAACGGTACCCTTAAAAGCTTTCTCTGGCCAAGAATAAATTAGATATCTATGTTTTTCATTTTAAAAACTGAATTTTTAAATGTGGTTTTCTACCATAATGGGCATTGCGCATTTCTACTGCAAGAACACAATGAAGGAACTATCGGAATTAACTACTTTTCAATCTCGATAAAAATACGCTATTTTCCTGATTATTGATGAAAAAAGGTTTGAAGGGTACGGTTGTAAATCGGGCATGACCTGTGAACTATGAATTCCGTTAAATTTAAAAAGGTCCTGTTTAAAATATAATCTTTTTTTTAATTATAGGTTTTGGCAAGGGTTCAGTTGCTCTTTTAAAATAAATCCTTCCATTATTAAAAAATACTAAATAAATGAATAGATTAAAAATTCTTTGATAATTTGATAATTGTTGACAAGTTAGATTGGCCATTTTCTACGTTCTTCGCTTTTATAGGGATTTGTACAAAAAATGTTCAAAATTAATTGTAATGAGGATAAAAATACAATGAATAACAATGGGAAAAAATATTTTTTTCGTCGTTTAAGTTTTCGTAGATTGTTGCTAGAAGTATGGCGCCATCATCAATAAAATCTGTTAAGATTTGGCTCCATGCATCCTTATGCATGAAAATGCGTCTCAGCTCAACATAAATCAAATTCTGGATCTTGAAATCTGGGATAAAATCTCAATTGTTGGGATATATTAGTAGACTAATTTACGGGCCACAGGGGGTTCACTATTTGTTAAATGAAAAATGTTATGTTTATGATATATTTCAATACAACTGATTACTCGCCTCAAATTCGAGTTTTCTAACCCTTATGAATTTCTCATCCGAGCCACCTCAAAATCTTCTTACTTCCATTATTATGTTATAATGAATCTGGTCACGTTAGAGGATAAAATATTGTAAAGCCGAAGTATTGCAATGATTACATCATACTGGAATCTTTAATGCCATGAGAATGATGTCAAACTTTATTAAGTTTTAACTAAAATCTTTTACGTAATGGCAAACCTTCATAATCGATATATACTTAGCTTGTCTGTTTTGGTGTATGGGTGTTTGGGTGTCTGTCTGTCTGTTTGTATTCGATGAACGTCAAAACGACTGAACCGATTGGGCCAAAATTTTCAAAAAGTTGTCTCCAAATTTTTATTTTGTTCAAACTTTGAAAATCCACGAAAAAAAATCTGAAAAATCTGCTAACTTTTTTTGTTTGTTTTTGTTTTATATTGTACAAAGAGAAGATTCTCCCAGATAGAGCCACAATTAAATAGAAGATGGGCGCGTAGCGCTATGAAAGCCTAATGTATTTAATATAATATATTTAAAGTATGCTATAAATTTCATTCTTTGTTCAATATTTGGAAAACCTTTGTCTTTCCTGGAACCAAGGAACCATCCGAAAAAATTCTATAATTTCCGATATAATGAACAAATTATGAATTATGAACTCTGAATAACTTGCGGCATTCTTTGTAAGGAAACTCTGAAAATATGCGGAAATGGCTTTATCTGTGGCTCAAGCGAGAAATTGTGGTGGCGCTCCTTCCTCCCCTCGTTTAGTTCGTTAGCGTTTTATAGTGGAAAGCTATAAAGAAAGAAAAAAAGTTGTTTGTTTGTTTATTAACTACCAAGAGAAGAAAACAGTCATGGAGTTTTTAAACTTTACAAGCTTATTTTCTAGAATTTAAATCTTTATCTATTAAGGTGAGTATGTCTGAGGTTGACCTACTTGTACCTGGATTAAGTAAGCTGACCTCCTACTACAATCAAACCTTTCTGAATGTGTGTGACACCTGTGACAGTTTGAACCACAAGAACCCTGTATCCGTCCTCAATGCTACTGCTGCTACAACCACACCAACTATTAACAGAGGGATGTGAGAGATATTCTGTATCCTTGGAGGGAATATCAAGATAATTTCTTTCCTTCTTTTATTTTGTTATATTTCTTTCTATCTACTGGCCGTTCATATTTTATACCTTTATATTATGAATTCATGTTGTATACTAGAATATTATTCCATCTTCACTTCTCTTATTTTCAGTGTAAAAATCCCATTTCTCATGTACTTGTTTTAGGAGAATTGTAAGCGTAAGTTTAAGTGACCCTCCATGCAAAGATGTAAATGCTGATGTACAAACGCATCCATTGTTTATAAAATGCAATGGAAAAACGCACGAAAATAAACACTTTTTACGTCAGAAGAGCGACAATTTCTTCCACATTTTTATCAGATTAGGGGTTCAATGGTGCCGTTAAAAAACGGGCATTTTCACCTTTGCATGGAGGGTCACTTGAATTTACGCTTATAATCCCTTGAAGATTAGTCTATCCAACTTCAAAATAGTTTTTCTTTTCTTTTTCTTTTCTTTCTTTCCCTTAATCTGACCCGCCTCATATAATATAATATTCTTCAAGCAGTATTATATAATATAATATTCTTCAAGCAGTATTATATAATATAATATTCTTCAAGCAGTATTATATAATATAATATTCTTCAAGCAGTATTATATAGTATAATATTCTTCAAGCAGTATCATGGAAATAAGTTTAACAAACATTTTTTTTTAACTTGATTAATTTTGTAGCGTTCATTTTGAACTTTTTTCATTGATTTGTTAACAGTTTACAAATTATTATAAATAAAACAAACCTATCTGTTCTATACATATGTGATTTTTCTCACACCCTCTGATTGTAGTTGGTAGTTTTTACTGTCGTACACTGTATGTACATTGAAAAAGCTGTAAGTACATTGTACAATGTATGTACATTTCAGTACAATGTATCCTTTAGGTACATTTTACGCTAAATGTACATTGTACAGCATATATATTTCCTGGTGCCATTAACAAAAATAAAAATTTTACTAAAATTTTGTGTTCCTCTTAAATATTAAAAAAATATTTTATGTGTGAAAGATTTCGACATGCAAATGTAAAGATTGTGTATTGGATCAAGAGATAAGAAAGTTACAGAGATCGATTATCATCTAAAAGGAATTGAGTCTTTGCCACAAACTCTGGTTTTTAAATCCCAATATCTTAACAACCCAATGTTGTAGACCTTAGATATTTCAAACTATGACTTCTGTTGTATCAAACAATCAAAGTTTGAAATATCTAAGGTTTACATAATTTGGTTGTAGATATATAGGTATTAGAAAATTGGGATTTGTTGCAAAGACTCAATTCCTTTGCGATATTTTTTTAAGCAAGTTCTATTGTGTACAAGTACTGTACACGACCAATTAGGAGACATCTGTATTCACGGATATTTAAGGACCCTTTGAATAGGATTTGCAAAATCTTTAAAAATAGACAATATTCATAAACGTTATGTTTTATGTTTAAAATTGTAATATTTTTTTTAAAAGTTGTAAAACTTAACCCTTGAATGCAACAATTGGCCTTGAGATGTCAGTAAAAAAACATTACATTCTGTGTAGTCTGTGATTGGATCCAAGGAGTATGGAATATAATGGAGAAGGGATCGACCCGGCCAGCCCTATACCATATGATTTGGATACATTTCCAGTAGATCTAGAAGGAGATCCATCAGAAATAGCTAAGGAGAGGCAGAAGTTTGCTGGATACCCGTCTTCTATACACGCCAGGAATGGAGAAGCATTAAGATCAGGAGAAGCATAAAGATCAAGAGAAACATTAAGAGCAAGATAAGCATCAAGGTCAAGAGAGAATCAAGATCAATAGAAACATCAAGATCAACCACCTGCTATACACAGCATGGATCAAGAGAAGCATCAAGATTAAGAGAATAAGCATCAAGATCAAGAGAAGAATCAAGATCAAGAGAAACATCAAGATCAAGAGTAGCATCAAGATCAATATAAGCATCAAGATCAGGAGAAACATCAAGAGCAAAAACGTTACATAACGATAAACATGTTGAGTATAAACACCTCATAAATGATATGAGATCAGAGAAGATGAACGTAGAATACCCACTAAAAATGAAAATAACATTTCCAGTAGATCTAGAAGGAGATCCATCAGAAATAGCTAAGGAGAGGCAGAAGTTTGCTGGATACCCGTCTTCTATACACACCAGGAATGGAGAAGCATTAAGATCAGGAGAAGCATCAAGATCAAGAGAAACATTAAGAGCAAGATAAGCATCAAGGTCAGGAGAAGAATCAAGATCAATAGAAACATCAAGATCAACCACCTGCTATACACAGCATGGATCAAGAGAATAAGGATCAAGATCAAGAGAAGAATCAAGATCAAGAGTAGCATCAAGATCAATATAAGCATCAAGATCAGGAGAAACATCAAGAGCAAGAACGTTACATAACGATAAACATGTTGAGTATAAACACCGAAAAACAAATACCATGAGCAGTAATAAGACGGAAGAAAGAAATCAAGATCAAGAGATAAGAAGAAAACAAGATCAAAGAAGAGAAGTGACAGAACTAAGGAAGTTAGACAAATCAAAAAAGAAACAACAGACACATATGTAAATTCCACAGCTGTATCCAGAACAAATGCGGAGTTAGACGAGCACAGTAAGGACAGTATGAGAGCTCTTCTGGTTCTAGAGAATCAGCCAGAAAGTTCAGAGAGGCAAGCAGCAGATAGGAAGGGATTACTGTTGTGAAAACAGGTTACAACCCTCCTACCCTCACAGCTCTTGCTGAGAACGATGTTGACACAAATGATGGCGTAGAAAGGGATTACAAGGAAAATAAAGCTGGAACAGAAGTGAATAAATCTAACAGAATTAGGAGAATCAAAGAGGAAAAGGATCTATGAATCAGATCAAACAAAACCAAACCTGTATAAGGACACAGAGATGGAGATCAAGGGAATTTAACTAAATAGGAGGGAAAATGTACAGAAAGGTGCTAAAGAAAACTTGGAGCATCTAGGCAAGCCAGAAAAATACCTTTTTAAGCTTTAATTCCCATGTCCTAAATATAATTTTTGGATATTCATGCACTTTATCCACTATGTAGTCCTTTTTGTCCACTATATAGTCAACTATATCTGTGGTTTGTGTAGTCTGCCGTAAGTAGTTCCTGCAAGTACTTTGTAACTATCTTTCGTCTCTTCCAAATCCAAAAATAGTCTTTCTGTTGTCCCTCTGCCCATTTATTTTCCGGGGGGCTGGATCTTAGCTACCTGTTCGTGTATATTAGCCTGAGAGTACACTTAGGACAGTTTACTAATAAAGGATATTAAGAGATTATGGCCTATTCATACAGTACAAACGTCAAATATGCAGTACGCTTTTGGAGTACAAGTGTATGAGGAAGTTTTGTATCTTAAATTTTACTTAGTTTTCACAGAACCGTTTATTAACGATAAAATATATCTCTGTTAAAGACTGCAATTGCACGTCTCATAATAGATCACTGATTCCAAATGATTTACAACCCTCTCAAAACTGACACTCGTCAGGTGCGCAATTAGACATTCAGCTAGGGGGGGGGGGAATTGCAAATATTCCGTGCTTAGTGCAAGAAAAGTTTTTGCCCCCCCCCCCTAAACATTTCTAGGGGGGGGGGGCAAGAAAAAAGTGTAATATATACTTAACCATGAGACACCATTTCAGGAAAGTTTATGGGGAAAATTTTTAAATTTGGCGAAATCTCAAACCTTAGTTTTTGAGGGGCTTTTTTCTGTTTGGTGAATTTGGTGTTTGAGAAATCTTAAATCTTTATTTTGGGGTAAAGTATTTTTAGATATTTTCGCTATCAGTTCTGCCACTTATTATGATATTGCTTTAATACTGTAGTACAACTATTAAAGTAATCCTACGTTCACCGTAAATATTGTGTGTTGTGTCATATTAAAAAAAATATGTTAAAATCATGATTTTTTAATGAAAGGCATTTCTTGTCAGTGTCTAATTACAATGTACATATTTGATTTATATATGGATAAATAGTGAATATATGTATATATATGTAAATTGTAAAAAAATTGCGCTTCGCACGATACGTATATTTCCGTTTTGAATTTACAGTTCAAATGTTGCCTCCACCCCCTGGGAGCGCCTAAGGGGGGGGGGCAAAAAAGATGTTGCTCCCTTCGCTTTATAGATTTATTTCTGTATACGCCCTTTATCACTCTATATATACTAAAACCTCGTTCGATTTTTTTTAATTAAATTGATATTAATTCATTAACTCTCTGACAATGTTAATTAATTAATATTGATATAAGTGATATAAGGTTCTGAAATAATGTCTAAGTTCTTTACGTAATCTAAGTCAGTGTAAAATAAAAAGCCGTTTTAAACAATGGAGTACACTCTATTCCAGGTAGTAGAATTAGCTGTAGTCCAGAACCGGTTCTACAAATAATGGCCGCACCTTTATTCCTATACGTTACTTGAGGAAGCTAGACTACCCCTAGCTAGGAACAAGTAGTGGGACAGTGTTTCAATATGGCCGAACAATGTTTTGAGCTTTGTGTAAACTTAAAATGTTTATTTCGCATTTATCTCTATTTTCGGTTGTTTTATCCTGAAAAGTGAACAATAGAATAGTTTTTAAAAGTGACAATCTTCAATGTTTACAATAAAAATATTAGTGATTAGGTTGGAAATTAAAATTTCTTGTTAGAAAGCTCTGATATATTTTAAACATGAATAGGTTTACAAACTAAATAACAAGATTACTAACTTCTAAAAATTTCGACGTTTAACAAAATCCACTTTTTACATTGGTTTTTATAGCCTTAAACAACAAATTCAATCTTACATTAAAACAATAACTTGTTGAAATTTAAATTGTAGATATTTAATTCCAACTTATTATACCGTTACTTTTAAATCATTTGTTTATCTATGATTCCTTCCCTTCCTTCCTGTACTCCTCGTACCTTTGCATATTCTTGTTTTCATCTCATTATTTTCTGTCATCTACTTTAATTACATAGCTTCTTTTCTTTTATTACCCTTCCTTCCTTCTATCCAAATACCTTCCTTCTATCCCCATCCTCTCCTTCTTTCCCCATCCATGCCTTCTATCCCCATCCCTTCCTTCTATCCCCATCCCTTCCTTCTATCCCCATCCCTTCCTTCTATCCCCACCCCTTCCTTCTATCCCCATCCCTTCCTTCCATCCCCATCCCTTCCTTCTATCCCCATCCCTTTCTTCTATCCCCACCCCTTCCTTCTATCCCCATCCCTTCCTTCCATCCCCATCCCTTCCTTCTATCCCCATCCCTT